AATTAAAGCATGTGCTCCATCTCAACTAAAAGCCTAAGTTGATAGTTGGATTGCACATTAATGGCTATATGCTCAACAGCCACAACACCAGCTTTGTCGGATACTGTAATTACCATTGATATCGGGACATCTCAATGCAGTTTTGCAGTATGCAAAGGCAACTCTCAGTCGGAACTTGTGGGGGGTATTCGAAATCAGAAGTTATTGAGATCTTATCAGAAGGATGAGGTCCCTGCTGATGGTGTTAGCAATGAGTTTGAGCATAAGTATGAAATATTGTAGAGAGCTGCGGTTTTCAATTTGAAACACCTCATTGGAAGAGTTGATACTGATCCCGTTGTTCATTCATGCAAAATCGTTCCATTTTTGGTGCAGACTTTGGATATTGGTGACAAACCATTTATTGCTATGTTAGTGAACAATAGGTGGAAGTCCACCACTCCTGAAGAATTTTTTTCAACGGTTCTGGTTGAACAGATAGCCATGGCAGAAAATCGACTGGAACGACCGGTAATGAATGTTGTTTTGACCATCCCAGTATCATTTAGCCGATTCTAACTGATCTGCTTTGAACGAGCCTGTGCCAAGGCTGGACTTCGTGTTTTAAGATTTATGCCCGAACCCACCGCAGTTGCAATGCTATATGCATACCAGCAGCTACAGTCTGGAAGCAGAAGTGAAAAGATCGCACTTATTTTTCAATATGGGTGCTGGCTACTGCGATGTAGCTATTACGGCTGCAGAGGGTGGAGTTTCTCGGATATTGGCATTGGCGGGAAGCACTTTAGGAGGTGACGACTTACTTCAGAATATGATGCATCATCTCTTACCCAATATGGATGAATTCTTCTCAAGCCATGGAATTGAAGAAATAAAGAGAATGAGACTACTTCGAGTTGCCACCCAGGACGCAATCCACAAACTTTCCATGGTACCCAGTGTTTCAATTGATATCGACATAGGAAATGGGACAAAGATATCTAAGGTTCTTACCCGCAAAGAGTTTGAGGAAGTGAATCGAAATGTCCTTGAGGAGTGTGAGTCTCTTATAAAGCAATGCTTAAGCGGTGCCAAGATAGACGTGGAACGTGTGCATGATGTTGTACTTGTCGGGGGTTGTTCAAACATTCCAAAGATTCGTGATATCGCAAAATATATATATGCAAAAGAAATGTGCTATATTCTGAAATGAATCCATTTGAGGCTGCTGTACTTGGAACAGCACTGGAAGGAGCAGTAGTGGCTTCAGGAACTTTGAATCTGCCGTTGTTAATGACCATTCAGGTAAATCCTCTGAGCATTGGCATTCGAGTTGATGGTAACAAATTCGTACCCATAATTCGTCTTAACACACCAACACGAGCAAGGAACAGATATATATTCACTACTGTTCATGACAACCAAACTGAAGCACTAATCATTATCTACGAAGGAAATGAGATAACAGTGGAAAAGAATCACCTCCTAGGTTACTTTAAGATTGCAGGGATCCCTCCAGCACCAAAAGGCGTTTCCCAGATCAATGTATCCATGGTAATCGATGCTTCAAACGTTCTGAGAGTGTTTGCAGGAGTTATGATTCCAGGTACCCAGGACCTTGTAACTCCATAAACACAATATATACCCATTACAATCCCTGCTTTTATTTCTCTGTTTTTATTTCACTACTTTCATTTCACTGGTTTTTACCATTATCCTGCCATTGTCTTTCTATTTGCTTACCTTCCAACAAATACTTCATTCTTGTGCTTAGAGATTCCTTTGTTTACTCCAACTCCCAATCCCTAAGGATGATCTAAAACAAATTTATTTTTGTTTGTTCCGCAATCTACTATATTGCATTACAATCAATTAACCTTTCGGATATACTGTTTGAGACATTCTCTGAACGAATAATTTGAAACCTTAAATGTCATTAACTTTATGCAAAGTATTACCAAGACAATTGGAGTCCTAGGTACAAAAAAAAAGGAAGAAAGAAAGAGAGTATAAACAAGGGCTTAATTTGATTTAATTGAAAATCAATGATTAATTTTGATATTTTAAAATAGTAAAATAACTATTAACTCTACTTTCAAAAAAAAAAAAAAAAAGAACTATTAACTTAATATATAATATACACTATGATATTTCTAGCTTAAAAATCATGAATAATATTATTTTATCATACTATAACAATTATTTAATGTTGCATTTCAAAGTTCTTTGCTTTCATTAATTACTAGCATCTTACGAGTGTGATGATTATGATATAGTGAATTAAGGGAGAATTGAAATATTAAAAAAAAAAAATTATTGTAAAAGTGTGTCAAAAAATTATGATTAAATAATATATTAAAGATTTATATATAAATTTGGGAAAAATTCGTTATATACCATGTTTGATGTGAACGAAATTATTTTGGGTGTTCTTCTTATCACAAATAAAAGTTTTCAAATTATTTGAGTTGGTGACCATTGAAACAGCAACATATAATTGTTTATTAGTGAATACTGGTCTTTGCTAATTCATTAATTATTTGTAAATTCATTTGCTAACATGTGTACAATTAGCTCTCATTAACCCCTAACCGCTATAAGTGCATGCATCCGTTACTATTACCCTTATTAATGTGCACCATAATAAATATAGTAATTTTATTAATGTCAACCTTAATAAATGTTGCCTAACGACTTGAGCATTATTCTTTAAAAAAAAAAAAAAACAACTTAAAGTAGAATACACACACACTCATATATCCCATGAAAAAATTAAGAACAAATCTCAGCCTTACATTTGTAAAAATATAACATATTTGATCATATTTATAAATTAAAAAAAAAACGTGATGACATTTTCGTAATTGCCATCAATTTCACTATGCAAACTTGAACACTAAAATATGCAATCTTATAACTACATATGGAAACCTGGTAAATTTTATAAAATCAATGAAAAAGTTAAAATTTAAATTTAAACCGTAAAAGCTAGACCCTAAGAAGTAAAATGTGAACAACTAAACCAAATAAAACAAAAAAACTCAGTCATAAACTATATAACCAAATCCCTAAGTGCAATGCACTTTAGCATTTCTGCAACTGCGGTCTTTTAATGCTTAATATGCAAAATGTTAATACTAAATGTACAAATATGAAAAAGTCTAAGAATTGTATATTTTCGTGTTTAAGTTTGCACATTAAAATTTGTGATAATTATAAAAATGCCACCGTATTTATAAATAAAAATAAATTGATCTAATCTGTCTGATTTTTACAGATGTAAGATTGATCGAGATTTGTTCTTAGTTTTTCCTAAGGAATTATTTTCATTTGATCAATATATATATATATATATATATATATATATATATATATATATATATATATATATATATATATATATATATATATAGGCTCCGGATCCCATGAGGTCACCTAGATGGATGAGATTATGAGGCCTCATCTCATCCATTAAATCATTACATATAAAGGGGTGAGATTGAAAGAGATTTGTTATGCATTTAAGGTAGTAGTCTATGCATAAGGGTGAATAAGTAATTGTAATATTGGAGCTATTTATGGTTAAAAATAAATTGGAATATATTCCATGCAAAGGATCAATTAATTATGGGATTGAATTATATATTAATGGCAACAAATTAGTATTAATATTGTGAGAGTTGAATGAAAGCATCTGTAATCAGGAACTCAGTGCAAGTTGGTTTCTCAAGGCCACAGTGATGGGGCAAACGGTTGTTATAGGTATGTGCGACCGTCTTAGTACTGTTTTTTTGGCTTTTCGTATGTCTGTGCACATAATATGTTAAGTCTGTGCTGTGCAAACCCGAAGTGTGTGCATTTAATTTCACGTGTGTCTAATTAGCGCATGAGGAAGGAGGTTAAGAAAAGTCACATTACGTATAGTATGTAACGCACGAGTTTTAAAAAGTTGAATAGGCAATCAGACATTGTGTTTTGATATGATATGTGGTTAGGTAACGAGACATTGGTGGAAAAAACATGGTGGAGTTTTGTATTAGAATATGCTTGTGCAAGTTTGAGAGGTAGCCTTTGCGAGTGAATGGATTAGCCTAAGCAAGTAAGACACAAAAGGCTATTAGCGTTATATTCTCAGCCTGTGAAGGCTAGTTTTTATCCACGTGCGAGTTAGAACTTTAGGCTGTGCAACTGAGTGGTAAAAAAAGTTAAGTTAGACAATCAGACACTGTGTTTTTATATGATATGTGGTTAGGTAACAAGACATTTGTGGGAAAAACATGGTGGAGTTTTGTATTAGAATATGCAAGTTAGGTTGATGCTGGTGCAAGTTTGAGGGTTAGCCTCTGCAAGTGAATTTCTTAGCCTAAGCAAGTAAGACACAAAAAGGCTATGAGCGTTATATTCTCAGCATGTACATGCTAGTTTATTACCATGTGCAAGTTAGAACTTCAGGCTGTGCAACTGAGTTTGTGAGCCTATGCATGCTAGTTTATTACCATGTGCAAGTTAGAACGTCAGGCTGTGCAATTGAGTTTGTGAGTGCTATTTGGGGGGTTTGGCATGTTTAAGTGGGTTTTTTTTTTTTTTTTTTTTTTTTTTTTTTTTTGGAGGTGGTAGGTGTCGACAGTTATGTGGTATGACGTGTGCATTTTTATAGGCGTGTGCGTTAAAACAATATTAGGCGTATGCATTAGAACAGTTGGGCTTGTGCATTACAGTATATCGTCATTTGTAAACAGTAAACCAAAGGAAAAATATTATATTTACTATCAACATATTTTAGTATACATTTACACAAATTGACGTGGGTGTGTACGTTTGTGTTACATGGCGTGTGCATACTCTGGTGTGTGCATATTCTGGTGTGTAAGGTGTGTGGGTTTCTTCATCTTGGTGTGTGCATGACATTTTTTACATCTTGGTGTATGCATGCCATTTTTAGTAGTGGTAAGGCGTGTGCATAATAGTGGTAAGACGTGTACATATTATACAATTCTAAATTAAAATAAAAAGCAATCAAATACTCCGTAATATTTAACAAATTACAACTCAAAACTTTTGTAATAGTACAAGAATTTACTAATATAATAATTACAAGCACATTAATAAGACAATAATAACAAAATGGGATATAGTGGGGCATTGATCTATTGAAATGCTTTAATACTTGACACCCAAACAACTTCGATTGTTCATCCACAAGTTGTAATTCCATCTTCTAATTTCAATTTTTCTTCAATAAAGAGAAAAATACAATAAAACACTATCAAAATTTATAAGAAGAACCACAATGCTCCCGCAGCTTCTTGCCTATTTAAGAGCAGATAAAAATGCTCAAAGTAAGATACTGGATAAGCTTTTATCATGAAATTGGAACTAGAGGCCAGAAATTTCTTTAACTTGCTTATATTTATGCAGCAAAATAGCTTAATGAAAAGGCAGTAAAACCGATAACGTGTTTTTCATGTACTATCATTTTTAAGCACAATCAAAGCCACAATTGGAAGAGAATAGCTCCACAATACACACACAAAGAAACATATAGATAAGATCTTATATTAAGCAGGCATAACAGATATAAGGTACCAGCCCACAAATAAGACAATGAAAGAATCAGATGATTTCCACTTCTTAATAGATGCATTGGTTTTTATGTCAGAATTATAATAAAACTACAGTAATGTTCCATTCAACTAGTAATGTTCAACAAAATATCTTAGAGATTAGAGCAGTACATTGATAGTTGTTAAATGACAATTCTTGAATCATACTTCTAGGAACAAAGATTCCTGAATTCCATTCTCCCTTGGTTACAACAGGTAAGTTTTACCAAAAAAAAAAAAAAAAAAAAAAAAAAAAAAGACAAAAAAACAAACAAGACCCAATCGCCAGAATTCCTAAAAAAAAAAAAAAACAACAACAACCGCACAGCACTGCCGGACAAAAATCCCCAAACTGGTACAAACTACCCCGTCGCCGGCACTGCCCTACCTCCCCCCATGCCGTAAAACCCAAGAATACAAAAACACAATAAAAACGAAGAAAAGACAAAGAAAGAAAAGGAAATCAGAATACCTTGGTGACAACTGGAAACATTCCTCTTTTGATGCTTTGACCCCCTGATGGAAGAGCCAGCCATGGAGACTCTCCCGACGCGAAAGGCAGAGGCATCATCGGCAAAGCAAAGAGCTCGACATAGACGGAGGAATCTTCCCTTGCGTGGCTAGATGCACGCGTGAACGACCAGAAAGCAACTGAGCGGACGGCTATGGCTGAGAGTACCGTATCTTGAAAAAGGATTCAAGAATCAAATAACGCTGCAACTTCCATAAAAAGTCGGAAATAAATTAAGTAACATAATAAAGATAGCGAAAAATGACTACAACGCCCCTAACTATTTAGAAAATCAGCGCACAAGCTTAAAAAATCCAAACAAATCTAATGCGTTGAAATTTAAAAATACACGATCAAGATCTATTCTCACGATCTCACCTGATTATAATGACCTCACTGGATCCGAAATCTATATATATATATATATATATATATATATATATATATATATATATATATATATAGAGAGAGAGAGAGAGAGAGAGAGAGAGGATCATATGAGACAGTCGTTATATCGTGCACCAGGGCGCACAATGCATTGTGCGCCCCGCCCAGCCCAAAACGGCGTCATTTTGTTAAGTTGTGTAGGGAGTTGACGCGACATAGTTTATGTGTATTTTGTTATAAAATTATGTACATTCTATTATACAATTCTGTACATTCTATTATATAATTCTGTACATTCGAAACATGGGAATTTTTTTAAAGAGTTAGGAGTTTATGTGTATTATGCATTATGTTAAATTATGTGTATTATCCTTTCAAAAAAAAGTATGTACATTCTATTATACAATTCTGTACATTTGAAACATGGGAGAACCCCTCAACATATGAGAATTAAGGACTAATCTGGGCCTGTGATCTCGAGTTCGTGTATGGTCATGATTTTTTATAGATTTTTTGGATTATATAATTACATTCTTTCCAAAAGGTTGAACCCCAACCTTAAGGGGCCCCCACGCCCCGCCCCGACAGAGCATCTGGGAGGATGTAAATCATGATAACTCAACTGAACATGAACCACATGGATTATATAATTACATATACTAGTATTTGCACCAGTGCGATGCACAGAATGTATTCGTTATAATATATGAATTATAATTTGATTCATATTCGATAGTGTAAATTTTAACGTTGAATTAAGGTTTGTATGAATGTTTCGGGATTGAATTAATTGGTCTCATTATCTTTATGTGTAGTAATTTAGCTATAGAAATTTTTGTAACGGAATATATATGTAATTTGTAGATATGTAACAATTTTGTTATATTTGTGCAAGAAGAATACATAATATAACTGTTTTGAATTAGACATTGTTGAAAACCTCTTTGTAGGCGACATTAGTACGTAGTAGTAACAGAAGTTTGTTCATCCTCGTCTAGAGCTAAAACCTTAAGGTCATCAGATGAGTGACTCGAGAAAAAGCCACATACAATAGACCATGATTAAAGACTGATTTTTTCAACAACAAGTCAACGTGAGTTAATGTTTGACCCTGCCTTTTGTTGATAGTCATTGCATATGCTAGCATCAACGGGAATTGTTTACGCTGGAACTGGAACGGCAATCTCGTATTAGAAGGGGTGAGAGACATTCGTGGTATAAGAACTTTGTTTCCTTGCTGCGTTCCATTAACTATTCTTGCTTCGACAATATGATTCGCCAATCTTGTAACGATGAGGCTTGTACTGTTGCAAAGGCCATGAGAGTGGTCTATGTTTTGCAGTAACATAACATGTGCACCAACCTTTATTGTTAATGAATGATTAGGAAGTTTAGACAATCTCAATCTATTTAAAAATTTAGGAGTGTGTACTTGTTAGAGATTATCACCATCTATCTGATTCTGCCTTACACAAAGAGTCACAGTTTAAATACGTCCAACCTTCTGCAGTGTTCATGTCACACATATACAGATTAATTTGATCAACAACATCTAACGTCAGTGAGAGAATCGCTCGTCCTTGTTAGTAATGTTATATTATATAGTTTATTTGTTTATGGCTATTGTTATAGTTGACTAGTCTTTACTATTGTATAAGAGCTTTTAGTGGTAGCTTTCCTATAGGTCTCTATTGTGTAATCTCTTTCCAGTCTGAATGTGATTTGCGTTGTTTCACTTGGTATCAGTTAGCGTCAGGCTAGGAATCCTACCCTGTTTTTTCTCCACCACCTTATCATGTCGACAAATTCCTCTGAACGCACAGTAACCACCACCCCTCCACCACAAACAACCGGGAACTCCCTAAACGCAGCACATCACTTCGTTTCAATAAAATTAAACAGTCGAAATTTTTTATTTTGGCGCACACAAATTATCTCATTCTTACGTGGCCAAGGCCTTTTAGGCTACATCGATGGCAGCCACGTCTGTCCACCGGCGATCCTCCCTGCGACGGCACAGGCAGCCGACTCCGGCACCACCGCGGCCGCCTCATCAGCCGACAACCCGGCGCATGCGGCGTGGGTTCAACAGGACCAACTGATCCTGTCTCTCCTGATCTCGTCTTTATCCGACGAGGTCATGCCATTAGCGGTTGGCCGGGAAACGTCACGCGATGTCTGGCTCTCCATTAACGACTCGCTGGCATCCTCCACCCGAGCTAGGTGTCTCAATCTGCTCGGTTAGTTTCAGACGCTCCGGCAAGGCAACATGTCGGCCTCGGAGTATCTTGGGAAGGCGAAGATGTTGGTCGAAGCTTTGTCCCTGGCCAGCCATCGGCTCACTCTTGACGAACAGGTTCTCTACGTGTTGAGGGGTCTTCGTCCGGAATTCCAGGCAATGCCGAGTGCTCTCACCGTGACCGGCACACCGGTGACTCTATCTCAGTTAGGAGATCTTCTGCAGGCACATGATTTCATCCAGGGAGATGAATTCACGATGGAGTCCGGGAATGTCGCCCCGACCGCTATGTACGCTGGTCGTGGTGGCCAGTCGAATGGGAGCTCCGGACGTGGTGGCCGGCAGAACAGCAACAGTCGCGGCCGTGGGCGAGGAGGCTGGAACTCCGGTGGTCGTGGCCGTGGAAGCCCTCGCTGCCAAATCTGTAGGAGTCACGGCCACACTGACGTCTTCTGCAACCGGTGCTACACAGAGCCTCCGCCATCGACGCACGCTCACGTGGCCGTCGCGGGCACTCCACCAGCAGAAACTGCCCAGCCGGAAGTCTGGTTTCCAGACACCGGCGCAACCACCCATGTGTCACCGGATGAGCACATGATCGGGCATTCCGAACCGTATACTGGTGGTGACGTGTTGAAAGTAGGCAATGGGGCAGGTTTGAATATCTCTCGCGTTGGTCGTACAGCTATCCCATCTAATTCAAAATTATTAAATATGTCAGATGTTTTATTTGTTCCGAATCTGTCATTATCCCTGTTATCCGTTTACCATTTCACTAACGAAAACAACGTGTTTTTTGAGTTTCATAAAGACTCGTTTTTTGTGAAGGATTGCACTACTCGGGAAATACTCCTTAAAGGCTCCGCGGTAAGCGGGTTGTATAAGTTGTTGGTGCCGCGGTCTCATGTTGCGTTCTTAACAGCAAAAGCATCACCTGCAGTCTGGCATCACTGTCCTTCTAGGTGCGACTACAGGTGCGACTCTTCTAGCATTCCATACTTCGCGGTTGGGAAGATGCTTTCAACTATAGTTGCAATTGGATCAGGTCCACACTTCAATATTATTTCGTGTGTCCATTTTCATGCCTTCTGTAGATTAGGTAACCATCTTTATCCAAAATCGTCTGACTAACATATTTTTTGGGGAAATACTTTGAACATTTACCATTTATCATGCATGGCAAATTCTTCCGAAGTTGTCCGCACGGTCCGTGCAACATAAATTCGCTAACTGCGTCATTGTACTCATTGTCAGCATCTGGGTCTGGAATCTCAGCAGAAATCAAGGCATCAACTTCCGGTGCAAAATGTGCCCGATTCATTCTTTTGGCAAATAGCAATATGTGCACGTGAGGGAGTCCTCTTTTTTGAAATTCAATTGTGTAGATAACTGTGCAGAAAATTAAAAAAAAATTAATTATTTTATACATGGAATTTAGATTTAATTAGGGCAATTAAAGTATGTGTGATAATCAAATACCTCCACATATGTCGCCAAACAGCTTTTCTGTCTTGATCTCTTCAATCATAGCATCAAGTTTCATCTTAAGCACGCAGCAAACAATATCGGGTCTATCCTCTGCTTTAAGCCCACATTGTGCAACATACCGCTCAATCTCAGGCCACTTCGGGGATGAGGATAACCGATGTGCCTGCATATTGCCATTGCATCACTTCGGGGATGAGGATAACCGATGTGCCTGCATATTGCCACCGCTCAATCTCAGGCCACTTCGGGGATGAGGATAACCGATGTGCCTGCTGTGACACCCCGTAATCCAAATTCAATTAAGGGATTAATTAAGTAATTAATCCTAAACCAATTGGTAATTTAATTCCTTAAATTACTGAAAATACAATAGTCGGGGACTAGTAATTGACTAGTCAACCCAAAGTCAAAGTTGTACCTTAAACTTTGTGAGTAGTTCCCTTGTTCCCTTACACCTCTTCATTTTAGTAAGGGTATTCATGACATTTCACCTTGTGTTAGTAATGCAAGCTAACCTAGTAGACACTCCTCATTCTTGCTCCTTACACTTCCCAAATTTGAGCTCTCCCTTCTCTCTAAAAGTTGGATAGCTTTTCTTCCAAGCCAAGTTGGAGCTTTGTCAAATCTTCAAGTGTTGTCTCCAAGATTCTACCTTTCATACCTTTGAGCATCTAAGAGGGTAAGATCTATGTTCATATTGTGTTTTTAGTGTTTTCTAAGGTGTCTTTTCTTAAAGATAGAATCTTTATGATCTTTTGGTGTGTTCTTGAAGTGGGTTTGGAAGGTGAGCCTTAGTAGGAGCTTGGTGAAGTGTTAAGTGAAGGTTTTTGTCTACAAGAGGTAACACATGCTCTACAAAATCTATTTTGCTTACTTATATGATGATTTCTTGGATTCTATATGTGTTTTGCTATGAAATGTGAGTGTTATGCATTGTCTTGTGAAAATGCATACCTAGAGCTTGTGTTTAGGGTTCATGTGTGCTATTGCTTGGCTATTCCTTTGATTCAAGTCATTTTGTTGTATTTGGTGAGATTTGGCATGTTTCGGACTTGAATTTGAGCTTGGTGTTGATAATCCCCGAAGGGATTATTTTGGTGTACAGGTACGTATCCGCAGGCGGAACAGCGGGTAGGCGTCCACCCGCCGCCGACCCGCGGGGTACATGTAGCTTGTGGGTGTGTACCCGCGGGCAGAACCACGGGTGGGGGGCTACCCGTGGGTCCACCCACGGGGAACAAGATGGTGTTGTTTGGGGATTTGTTCCCCGTGATTCTTTTGACTCGGTATTTGGTCTTTTGACTTCCCGATGTTCTTTTGTGGAACTATTTGAGCGTCTTCTTGATGTTTCGTATGTCTAGAACTATATGGTAGGAATCCATGTAGGTTTTGGTGTCTTGAATCGTGCTAAGTGTTCAACATTGTGTTTCGTTGAACTGTGATGAGTCTTGTGTGTTCTTCGGAACTACGTTTGATTTACCCGTTTGATAAGCATGCTAGTTCGGTGTTTAAATGCTAGCGTGTGTGTTGTTTGTACCTTCCTATTGTTGATGATGACTTGTGTTATTCATCGTTGTTATTGGACTGTGATCCATTCATTGATTGAGTATGGTTTCATATCTTCGTTGTGATCCGTTGACTGAATCCTGTTGAGGTGTGGTGTGTGTGGTTGTACCTGGATTGCACGATTTCGATTTATGGGGCCTTAATCACCAAGGTACGGCAGTGGTCCTCATGGTGGCCATGACGCGATTATGGAGTTTGTGGCCTTTGTGTAAGGTTCACATATTTCTTGGGTGGCATGTATTGCCATGTGTGTGATCGGTACCTTGTGTACTATGAATTGGTGGTCTTGTTGGTGGTCGTTGGTGGGGGACGACGGTCCTAGGAGGGAAAAGGTTGGACTTGGTTGTACAGGGGTCCTGGAGGTAATGGTTGGAACTAGACATAAGGTTGGGGGTAGCCAAAAGGTTGGAACCGGGCATAAGGATGGCATATCAATTCGTGATGGGTGATGTCACGAAGGCTTGTGTAGCCGTTGTTGTGAGTATCTCTTTTTGTGACGTGTGTAGTCACAAAGGCAATGTGTTGCCAATGGTTGTGTCCTTATTCTCATGTGTTATGCATGTCGGGTGTTAATCTATTGTGTGATGGTAGATTATACCTTGAGCTGTTCTTGCGAGTCGTTGTACCTCGTGTGGTATTGGGATGTGTTCCCTATTCTTATTGAGAGTGCTTAGAGTCTTGTGTTGACTTCTGCTCTTGGTTTTGAACATATATATGTATATTCCGTTTTGAAATGATTTTTTATATATATCCTATCTATGTATGATACTTAACAGGTATTGGTGGGTTACCAGCATTATTCGCTGACCGGGCGTCGTCCCATCTTTTATGTGTTTGTTTCTTTCAGGTGATGTATAGACGTGAGCACGGTCTAGAACTTGCTAGTGTAGCTCCCATGTTTTTGTTATTATGGCCTGTGTGCCAAGGATAGACTTTATTACTTTGGACATGTATGGATTTTAGGTAGGTTGTGGTTTATGCAGATGTTAGCCTGTGCGTTCACCTCTGGGTGAGCGTGGCATAGCACCCCTTTCATTTCCAGTTTATATAATCATTTTCAATCTTCCGCTGTGTTTGATGTTTTGTTTAGATATCTGCATGTTTAAGGCTTTAACTAGCATGGAAATTAGGGGGTGTTACACCTGCATATATGGTAGTATAATTCTTTTACCCCGAGTTGTGGGATCTAATTCGCCCCATGGTAGTATAACACACCCCGAGTTGAATGATGATGGTAGTACAATGTTTTTATTAAGGAATTTTCTCATTTATTACGCAGAATTGGTTTTAATTATTCACAGAATTGGTTAACTATTTTTCATTTTCAACCTACTGAAACACAAAGAGCCAATAACGCCTCCGCTGAGGCTCAAACTCACAACCTTCCAAATGGAAGTCCAACCCGGGTACCATTAGACCACATAGTCTTGGTTATTCTCACAATTATAATGGTTACTTATTCTTAGAATTTGGTAACCATTTTCCATTTTTAAGTACAAATTCTAGGATGGCAACGGGGCGAGGCGGGCGGGGAGTATACTCCCCGTCCCCGTCCCTGCGAGTCTGTGACCCCAAAATGGATAAAGATAAAAAACAACATAAAATTAAATTCTAGGATAAGGATAAATACCTTTTCACCTCCAAAATGGATCGAATAGCATAGTAATTCTCTATGGTACTACACAACAAAGAAATAATCCTTATTCACAAAGATTGAACAATGTTATTGATACATCAACAAACTAAGCCTAAAATTATGCATGAAAGAAAATACAGTATTAATATGAATGTAAATATAAATATGAATCTTAAAAATGGTAGTGAATATAAACATGAAAAAAAAAAAAAAACTAATACACATATTTACGATTCGCACTCTCATTGAGTTGTCATCTCTACAAACTTCAACCACCGCCCTCTGACATGAACTGCTGTAGTCATCTATCACCGAATCTTCTTCCACCACCGCCATAAAAATAACTACTAATTTAATCCAAAGCAATGCCAACTTCAGACTTGTAGAAAAAAAATAAAAAAAAATAAAAAAAACCCAAAAACTTCAATTTCGCACCGACAAAGTCAAGATTGCTTCCGCAGTGTTGATTCCGCCGAAAATGCCAAAACTTCGCTCCGCCTGTTGGCTCGCCTCCTCCGCGTGCGCTTTCTCCGCCATGGCCAGCTGCTCCCTTACCTCGTCCGTGATTTTGGTGACCGCAACACATCCATTCATGCATCTAAGCCCTCTGAATAAATAGGTTGATTTCTAACCATAATAATATTCTGCTATTATGACCGTGAGGTAGAATACTAATCTAACCATAATTAAATATTCTTCTATGTTTTCCTACATTTAAAAAGAAATGTTAGAGGCCAATTGCATGGAATATTCTTCTAGTCTATATTGTTATAGTATTTTCTATTACCATCAACAATTAAAAGGACTACAGTAATATATAATTTCCTTAATTAATTAGTTTATATTACCATAAATGTTTGTTGTTCTGACAGAATATTTCATACAATTAAAATGACTACACTAATATATATTTTTCATAATTAATTAGTTTATATTACCATAATGTTTGTTATATTCACACGGAATATTATGAATTATATTATGCATAATTTTTGTTATTTATTTTACTTTGACGTTGTGTTAAAAGGAATATTCCATAATATATGCACTATGTAGTATGCACGTTAATTCACTATGCAAGTTAAATAAAAGAAATAATTCATAATTAATTAGTTTATATTACCATAATATTCTTTCCATAATTAATTAGTCAATATTCATAATCTATACGTAATTTTATATATAATATATGCACTGTGCAATATGCACGTTAATTCACTATGCAAGTAAACTAAAAGGAATATTTCATAATTAATTAGTTTATATTACCATAATATTCTTTCCATAATTAATTAATACACTGATATTACATAAATGACCTTAAGTTTTGGGGGGAAAACTTGGCTAGGAGGATTTTACTTTATATATATATATATATATATATGTATGTATGTATGTATGTATTCAAATGAGGACAATGATATTATAGAGGATTGTGAGGACTAATATAGTGCATTGGATTGTATTAATGGATGGTGTAGATTTAGGGAGGTTATTTTGATTAAATGGAGAGTTTTAATGTGATGCGTGTTTTTTTTTTAATTGTTGGGGGTAGTTCTGTAATTCAGTAATTGTTTTTTTTTTTTTTTGCTCCCTTTTTTATCGGACAGAGTTGATTCTTACGCGCACTAACTCTCTCAAGTTTGAACTTCTCTATTGTTT